ATAAAATAATTAAAATAATAAATTAAATATATTTTTTTCTTTTTTCGTGATTTCCTGCGAAACAAAGCAAAAAGGAGCATATGTCTATAGGACTTTTTTTCTTAGTTTTTTACTCCTCTACACGCTCCCGAAGTTTTGCCATTTAATTTGGAAACACCCTGTATATATATCTTATATAGTAACCACATTGATGCAGCATTAAGATAGCAACGTGTTTTTTTTTTACGTATATGCGTATAAAATAAAGCGACAAGGTCTACACAGATAATCTTGCAAGATTATATTTGTTCAAAGAAAGTATTGATAATAAATTAAATAGTATCGATAAAAGTTATTTATCCGAAATTACGAATTCCATAAAACTAGAAGCTATTAAATTTCTGCATATTATACACATAGAAAAAAATGGTTTTGCTGAATTATTGCTAAAAATTTAGTTAAATATGCAGCACTCGATTAAAGAAAGTATAGAGTTTCTTTTATATCTGCGAACAAATTTGAATAAGTCAAGTTTTCGAGAAATATAAAATATGTTCAGTCAAATTAATGATTTATATCGGGTTGCTCGATACGCGACAAGTGTTGACGCATGCCAGTGTGTATACCGTAAAGTTGCATGTAACATTGGAAATAGTTTATGCAACTTACGGCCGCTAATATGCTCTACGTAAAGCGAAAAAGAGCAAGGACAAGGCTGCTCGATATGAGGGCAGTGGAACCAGTATGGCTATACCAGTCAACGACTATTTTCAGGTATCCCACAGTTCCACGCCGGAGTTAAATATAACTGCGACGAAATATTTCGCGTGCTCCCATCTTTAGAAACGCATTTTCCTATCGATTATTTTTAACGATTTATACTCGCAGCAGATATTACAAAACTTTCGTGATATATCTTAGTTATTTTTTAATTAGCCTGAGAAGAAAAGAAATGTTCTTATTTCTTTGGAGTTTCATTTAATGTACATACACGATAAAGCATACTCGGTACCGCAGCGAACTGAAAAATTAATGAACCAAATCACACTCGACGGCGTATTATAATTCATGATGAATAATAGTTTAGCTGCGCGTGACTTTTATTCAATTTTCATTACTCTTCAGTTCCGTTCGAATTTATTTGACTTGAATGGTATATATATTTGATGTTTCTATTTTTTGAACATGATAATTTTTAGAACACCACTAAATGACGTTAATTCTATTTTAAATTTTTATAGACTTTTATCAATTATACTCTCTACCGATGTTTTACTTCTATAAACAATTATTATATTAAGTTTGTTCTTTTTATAACAAATTTTCTTCTTCTAACAGATTTTTATAATAAACTGTGACTTTGCTTTAATTATCCGTTCCTCATTACACGTTTAATTTAATCGAAAATCGACGGCGTATCTGCTTCATGTGGCTAGCGCGTATCCTTTTTTTTTATTAAATGCATTTTTTGCGTGGAAAAGTTGCGGGTATGTGTAAAGTAGCTGATATGAAAGATATACTTGCACAAGAATCTATAGACTCTTTCTCGTTCAGTAAGCGGAAGTTAATGAATCCTTTAGAGAAAACATGAACGTTGCATTTATAATCACATCGTTACATATAGGTTGTAAAAAAGAACGCTACAAAAATATTTATAATGTACGCAATTTCACATTATTAATGTTATATGTATTCAATGTTCCAAAAATGTCGCGACAAACGAAATAAAGTAATACAGAATCAATACGCGAAAGAAACATAGGTATGTTAGTCATCGAGATAAAGATAGTTCAAGGTTACACCTGATTTAATTTAACATAACGTGAAAGGTCGACCAACTGCAACTAGTAGACATAAGTATCGGTAGAAATGTGGCATTTTGTTTGGTGTCGCGTAAAATATGAACACGTATGCAGGCAATGTAATGTTGCAATGTGCACAAATTTTTCAGACGTAAATTTTTCGGATGGAAAGTCCGTTAGAGAGTCCGTAAAATTTCACTCGCCTGAATTATTTTAAGCTCGCCATTTCGGAAGGTATACAGCCCTTATCAATCACGAATGAACGAACGGCTATTTAACATATGTCTATTTTCGCAGAGGTAGGTCACGAGAAGTGCACGGGTGGCCCTCGCGTGATTATGACGCCGGAGTTTACACGCCGAAATCATATCGGTTAGCAACTGCGCAGATCGAGTTTCCAATTATACGAGATTATCGTGTGCCGCTCTAAAGTCTACCTTACGTCGCCATAGGGTAATACCTTCGCCTAAAAGTACCAGGCACCCCACTTACGATCGAGATCCAGAATTAAACAGCGCCGTGATTTCGCTGGATTCAATTTCAGACGCAGATACACGCGATACCGAAGAGGTTCACTTCCGATTATAGACAATTTTAAAAAGCATAGATTTAAGACGAGGAAGCTTCTATTTATTGTTAGATATCAAAAGAGTAATGGTAACTCAATCCTTTGAATTAAATAACATTTTGTTATTTTTAATTTCCTTGTGAGTCCAAAATATAAATTAATCTATTTCTATTGTTAATTTCAAAATAAGCAACATCCATATTACCAGGTGCACTTACAATCAGTAAATAATAAATTTGAATCAAATATTTATTTAATTGAATTATTTAACTCCATTGTTTTAATTAAATTAACGACATATTGAATAGCAGCAATGGTGACTTATAAGAATGATTAAAAATAATTCAAATTGAGTATAATTTGATATTATAAATTTAGCAGTGTACTTCTGGATTAATCGTTTTACTATATATATAGTAAACATAATTTTAAAAACTCGTTAAATTTTGTTAAAACTTACAAATGCGTTAATCGCAGATTGACACGAATTGTTATCAATTATCTGGCACAAGAAATTATGCTGTAGGTCAATGTCGACGAATGTCTTGAATTTCATGATTTTAGTCCCACGTGGGTACGCACACCTTTAACTTAAACGAGTCAGAGGCTAGGCTTTCAATGGAAATTTCCTCGTTGCGACGTACCGCGTCCGCTTCCACGTCCGCGTTGCTGAACGCCCATCGATCGATCCATACCACTGTGTAACAGAAAGCACGCCACGACCTAACATCTGCCGCTGTGTGGTTCGCGGCTCTAACGTAATAACGGCTTTAAACACAGAGAGCTTGGGTTACGAGCCATTTACGTGTTAAACGACACATCAATTACCGCACAGCATCGTGTTATTAAAAAGCTCGTGAGGACCTGTGAGAATTGCGATCGAGATCGATGTTCTATGCACCCGTTTCTTTGCACGTTCCAATTTGTTCGGCTACTTATCAAAATTTTAGCCCTTATTTCTATTAATCCTTCGTCGACAATGTTGAACTTTAAAGGCACCGTCGATTTTTTTAATTCTAGTGGATCAATTTAAATCTGTGAAAAATAAGTAAAATGCAAAACACACTTCTATGATGGTAAAAACTTTTTGTTAAAGCTTTAAAAAATTTTTTTCTATTCGGAACAGTAGACGAAAAGAACAATTTAGAAAATGAAACGTCTAAAAATTTAAGTAGATATAGATGTGAAAGTAATTTTTTGGACCATTAAAATAATTATGTAGGAAACTCAAGTATGATGAGTAATGCTACCAAAAGTTTTAACATTCTAGCAACTAATTTGAACGTTCTAACTATTTTGATAGTCCAACAAAATTTATTTCCAGATCTGTATCTAGCTGAATTTTTATATATTTCAACAAAAAACTTTTTTCCGTGTACATATAAAAATCTGCACTAAAATTTGAAGATCCAAGCGGATTGAAGGGTGAAAAATTCATACTGCCAATGGAGGATTAATAATAAATCAAATATCAGCGTCAAAATTTAAAAAGTTATATCAGGATATAATTAATCAATCACTAGACTGAAAAGCGTCACTATCATCTTTCTACTATTACGTACATATAACATCATCGCTTAGCGATGTTAACATTTTCCAATCTGCGATATTTCCCTTATGTTCTAGTTTGTGTATGAATATCAAAAAAATCGTAGAAATAGTGGAGTGGCTGAACGGGTTAGGACTTAGGTTACTCGATCAATACAAGGCGCTCCAGCTCTCTCTACAACCACGAAACTAGACATCCGAAGGCAAAGAGAAAGAGGACCTTGTTAGAGACTGGGGATGCAAAAAAGCAGATGAGATAATATTGTGAAATAGAAAAGAATGAAATATCTACTTACTCCTATTAATTAGAAATCTAAGAGACGTGCGAATACGATTCGATAAAAAAATTATAGGGCATATTTATATACAATTACATTAGATTTTCCGTTGAAATTTTAATATACCGGGCATCTGTAATGTCAAAATTACAAATTTATTGAAGCAATATTTGCACATGTGTATATGTTTCAGGTGCCTTCCTCATTCCCTTTTTCGTGATGCTCATCCTGGAGGGTGTACCCCTCTTCCTGATCGAGTTGGGTCTCGGACAACGTATGCGGCAGGGTGCCCTGGGAGTATGGAACACAATACACCCTTGGCTAGGCGGTATAGGGATCGCGTCGTGTATAGTGACGTTTTTCGTTTCGCTTTACTACAACGTAATTATTACCTGGTGCGTCTACTACCTCTTCAACTCGGTCGAGGTAAGCAGATCGATAAGGTTCGTAGCACCGATTGACGCCATGGTAATCTGCGTCGAGACATCTTAAGTGACTCTCCCTCTCCACTGTTCTATAGTTTAGACTTAAATAGGTAATGAAAGACATCGTTTACGATGACACGAAGTGTTTAAAATCTGCCAGTCTTTCAATAAAAAATTATATTTCTACTAAAATATTATAGAGACTCGAGAAAAATGAAAAGGAAATTAGGAAATTTTTCAATTGTAAGCAAAAATTAAAAGGATTTAATATTTAATAAATACAAATTTTTACGATGATAATTCCTTAATTCAAATGTACAGAATGTTACATTCAAATATAATTATTAATAGCGTTCTTGTAAATATATATGTATATTATACAATATATATATATATATATATATTTTTAACTCTAATTGGTATTCGCTCTGAAATTTTTTCAACTGGTATTTGCGAATCCAGAGTACTTTAAATTAATTTTGCTTAAATTAATAATTTTGCTTAAAGTTATCGCAATTGAACAATTTTTTTTCATTATGAAGGTCAAAATCTGAGGAATAAGATTATGTATCTTAAAATATTGTAAGATATTATGAAAAATTTTTGTTAAACATTTGGTGCGTAATTATCTGAATTCGCTAAATCCGAATGCGAATTAGGGTTAATATTTTTCGTAAATTTACGAATTATTAATGATATTGATTTTTTTCATGTTTCAATTAGGCTATCACGATCAAATTTGGCGTAAGTACCAATTTCTTGTAATGAACAATATTGTATGTTGCTATAGTTAGAGACATTATTATACATAAATTGCATAAGGAACTATAATATGTAAATTTTGTCACAATATCGGTCTCTCAATTCAGTGCTCAAAGTACCGCTTCAGCTTTTACAACGCAATAACAGCATGCATGTCCGTTAAAGCGTATATTGATGATCTATTTGCATATTCTGGCACAATTCAGGAATCACTGCCGTGGGCAAAATGCCCGGTATTGGACGAGAAACCGGTCGAGGAATGTGTCAGAAGTTCGGAGACCGCGTATTTTTGGTACAGGACTACTTTGGATGCAGCACCATCCATTGAGGATGGCCAAGGTCTCAAATGGTGGATCGTACTTTGTCTTTTGCTCAGCTGGGTTGTCGTGTTTTTCATCGTTATGAAAGGAATACAGTCGTCCGGCAAAGTAAGCTGAGATAGATAAGGACACGTATTATAGAACTAATCCAAATGGATTCCGATCGAAATTGTTCAATTATTCCCTAGACTTCTATTGTGCTGTCTGAATTTCTATTGCGTTATTTAAGGAAAACGGATTACTTTTGATCGGAATCCATTCCGAAGAGTTACATAATACATGTCTAGAACCGATTCCTTCGATATCAATTAATATTAGAATTAACAGTCGAAGTATCAATGCTTTTATATTCATTTAAAGGATCAAGTGAAAAAAATTACTATGAAAATAAAGGAAATAATTAAAAATTAAATATTTTATTAGTATATAAAGGATATAATTATTGAAAATTCAAAAAATTTTAGACTCCTATCTTTTACCTAAGAAATATAATATTAATCTAATAAATAAAAACGGTCACAATAGTGATTGTTCAATATTTTTAATATTGTTCATTTCTACAAATGTAGATTAACTTTAATCTCGATTTGATTTACTCTTTTTCTAATTATTAGCACTAGAAAAAGATAAAAAGTAAGTTGTATTAAAGTTAATCGACTATTAATATTAGTAAAAATGGACAATTAACTGTGCTGAAGAGATTGATTTCGCATTTCTTTTCATCGCAATAACAAATTATCTTTTTTTCCAGGTAGTATACTTTACGTCGATGTTCCCGTATCTCGTACTAACTATCTTTTTCATCCGCGGGATAACATTGAGAGGTGCAAGCGCCGGACTGGCGCACATGTACACGCCAAAGGTGACGATCGATTTCAGTCGGGGTTGACTTTATCGAAGAAAGCGAAATGCCGGACATTAGATATTTACTTTATTCCTTTCTTTGAAGGTCGAGAAATTGTTGGAGCCCACGGTCTGGCTTGACGCGGCGACCCAGGTCTTCTATAGTTTCGGGCTGGCGTTCGGCTCCCTGATAGCATTTGGCAGCTACAATACTCCTGACAACCACTGCGTGAGGGACGTGATCCTGGTGAGCGTGTGCAACGCGTTTACTGCCATTTACGCGAGCGTTGTCATTTTCGCCATTTTGGGGTTCAAGGCAATGTCAAACGTGGACAAGTGCGTCGACAGGTAATGCGACCGCAAGCGCGGCCATCGTTTCTAAATTCGCCATCGCGAAGAGGGTAGTGAGAAAAAAACGTCCACGGCTGCGGAGATGTGTCTTTAAACGACCATGATAGCTGTTGCCGCTTGTTCGAGATAGAAGATATGCGTGTCGACGCTTTTACTAGTTGCACTATTAATGTATAGCAACGCATGTTAGCAGAAGTTGTAATTAAATTAAATTGTGAAAAAAAAGTTACATTAGTAATATATAACAGTTTATGTTGATAATACTTTGAAATTAAACTGTAAAAATCAGTCACTTAATGTATACTTGAAGGTACATTACAATTTAATTTAATTAGATTGCAAGTGTCAGACGTGTCGATGGTTGAGCATTTAGAAACGGGAGGGATCGAGTCATAATGGGACGGGACGGGATATACTGATCGTTGGCGAAGAAGAACAGAGGGACACAGAAGATATGTTAAATCGCTTTTATTTTAGTGCGAGGGATACCCTGATACAAAATGGGCTATTGGCTAATTCGACCTCATTCAGCCTCGAGGACTACGAACTCTTTATGAGCAACTCCTACAACTCTTCAATGAACCTCACAATGAAATCATGCAGTCTCAGCAAGGAATTGGACAACGTGAGTAATGATAGTTCCGCAAATTCGTTCGGCGTATAATTATGAAATAATTAAGTGATAATCCTTTTCGTATAGGCTGCCGAGGGCACCGGACTCGCTTTTATCATCTTTACACAAGCAATCGTGGAATTGCCGGGTGCTCCATTTTGGTCTTGCATCTTCTTCATGATGCTTCTTGCCCTCGGCTTGGGTTCACAAATCGGACTACTCGAGGGTATGCTCTGCGTAATTTTCGAAATAGATCTCTTCAAGAGAATAAAGAAGCAATATATGACAGGTAAGCGCGATCTATTGACGTCGATAAAAACCAATGATTGGTAAAATTATATCCGTTTTTTAACCCGGAAATAGTCAGCTGAGATGTTTTTATAACTCAGTGGCGAAAAAATATAAATTGTTATAAAATGGAAGATATTTATATTGCTTAACATATTTTCTTTCTATTTTAACTATTATTTATGAACCTTTCTCAAACATAAGTATCAAATCCAATTAATAAATCGGAAAGTAATCAATAATATATAATATATTGTTAATAATAGTGATTTTAATTGAGATTTAAAAATATCCAAGATAATCGTTTGCGTAAAAAAATGAGGTGACTATTCCCAAGTTAATCAAGTTATATATGGTTTTTTAAGAAATTTATTGATTAATAATTTTTAATTAAATAATATCGGCAAAAAGAATATATTTTTAACATAATCAAATGTCGTTTTTATTATTTTCATGTCATAACGCAAAGAATCATTTTTTTTAATTGTGATGATTTTAACGATTTTTTTTTAAACTGTCCTTTTTGAATTGTGACAATTTTTACTTACAATTGCAGGAGTTGTTTGCGTTGTATGCTTCTTCGTTGGGCTCATCTTCTGTACTGGTGCCGGAGAATATTGGCTGAAGATGTTTGATAGTTTTGCCGGCACCATCGGTCTCGTTATAGTCGCCCTAATGGAAATGATCTCTGTGATTTTCGTGTACGGTCACGAAAAGTAAGTTGAGCGTTCCACAACCAAGATTCTCTTCTCCGAATGAGATATATAGATTAACGGATTAATCGCACGAATGCTATGCAGATTTACGAAGGACATCGAAGAGATGACCGGATATAAACCTGGAGCTTATTGGCAAGTCACGTGGCGGTTTCTCGCTCCCATAATAATGCTTTGCATCCTTGTGTTTAGCATCATTTCCATGTTCATCAAGAAACCACAATATTCAGCATGGAATGCGGCAACGGTAAAATTATACAATTTGAGACATATAAAATATGTTAAATTCAACACAAATTTTCCAACTGTGTAAATATATCTTTGAAATATATAATCTTTCATATGTAATCGTATCACCGTAACAATATTTCGGCTTCGTTCTTAGGGTGAGGCAGTGCCCACGAGTTATCCTGGCTGGGTGCTGGGCATCGCCGTCATCATCATTTTGGCAGGAATCGCTCCGATTCCGATCGTTTTCCTTTTACGACGATTCCAGTTAGTGAAACTCGACGTGGATATACACCAAGGAAGTATTCGACGTATCGATACCACCGTTTCTACCAAGGAAATGATGGGCGATGTTGACGTGAGTATTATAGCTTGCCATTGCAATCGCCATATGTATTTATACATAGAAACCCCAATGAGTTACGTAGAAATCCCAATGAATTACTTTGAAAGATGTGTATCAAGAGGAAGTTTTGCGCATAAAAATATCCGCGAAAATAGCATTTGTGGCTTGTGTGTCGTTCGTGATGGAATGTGTGTAAAGTTCGCGATAAACAGTCCACTGGACGACTCGAAATGAACGAACGCACGTTGCCTTTTCTCATTTGAGCTAATTGTTCAAGAGTAGTATTGTTCCTTTCCTTAAGATAAACCCTTATAGATATAACAAAGTAGTACGGCGAAAAACCTTGTCATCGTTGAAAAAATTAAAACTGTCGAAATACGATGCATTACAACCTCTTAAAATTAATTTTTAGACTTTTTTGATTTGTCTTATATTAATGAAAGTCTTATTGAACTTGATCTTTGATTCTTTTCAACAGATTTTACTTATATTTTGCTTCGATGCATTGTTAAGTATTAGATATCAAAGGAACAATGATCCCTTGAATTAAATAACATTTTGTTATTTTTAACTTCCATGTATGTCAAAATTAATTTATTTCTGTGGAAATTGCTGTGGAGGTTTGCTACGCTGCACTACTTAATAATTATTTCGGATAAGTAGCGTTGTACCCCTCCGAAATAGCCCGTTCAAATGAGTAGCTTAATTAGCGCACCACGGGCTAACGAATGTTATGCCATTTGATCAGCAGTGTGGCCTTGCGCGATTAAAACAGACTTGTAAATCGTGATGTTGTTTATGTCGGATTCCTCCGAGTTGTTGCGCAAGCTGTTCCTCATGGTGAGCCAATTAAGCGCGTGTACGTGAATCGCTTTAGGTAAATCACAATTGAACGTACGATCTGCAGTTGTAGGTAAGCATCCATTCTGTCTGTGGTAACGTCGATTACTCGATATCCCCGTAGCTACGTTACACGTGAGTTCGCAGTATCAACTTTTGAGAATGCATCCTCTGAATGTTACTATTAGTGCATTCATTGTCACACGTACACGATGTCTCTATCGTAAATATCGTGACTCTAGTTTCTGTCTCCTGACTCTCTTTTTTACCATGTGATAAATTGTACTCATTCAGTTTAAAATCACAATTAATTAACTGCACGATTTAATAAAATGAAAGGATGCTATGCCTTTAAATGAATCTAATTACATTCTTATTATGACAAAATACATCATCATCATCATCGATAGAATGCATGATAAGATGAATGAACATTTAATTAAAGAATAAGAGAGACAATAGTATTAAAAAACTTTCTCGGATTAATTTTCTATAATATATTTTAAATTTAAAATACTGTCTATTTCTGAATTTACATTCTCTGTTAAATATTGCACTTCGTAAAAAAATGACACAAGTTAAAATTTTTCGAATTTGTTATTTTTTAATATTATGTGCGGATTATATTCTAAAGAATCTAAATACATTAGCCTTTCATCAGAAAAAGTAATACAAGTTAAATTTAAATATTTCTCCAAAACACGAATCAAAATAGGAGTAGTTTTTAGGGGTAACATTAATACCATAACAAAATTAATATCTATTTATCATTATTTGATTATTTCTAGAGAGCTTGAAACAAACAATTTGTAGTTAGCTCCAAAAGTTAACCGATAAGAACTGAATAAAATTTTCTAACATAATCTAACAATAAACAGATGGCGAAAATCAAACAAGAACATATACGGCACAATACAATGAATGGCAAATTGACAGCAAATATTAAGCAAAACTTGCTAATACATTGCTCGATAATCTGACATAACTTCAAATATCTTTAATATCTTTAATTACCTTTAAATACCTTTAAATACCTTTAAATATCTTTATGATATATCTTTATAATATATCTAAATGGAACTTTTGTGAATTCTCGTACACAATTATAATTCTAAAAATGTTCATTACGCTTTACATAAATTGTGAAAACCATTTTAAAAGAAAATATAGTACTAACAATTGCTATTATTTTGCTTAGGAAGATAGTTTTATTCTCAAATCAATATGATCTGGTCAGCACAGGTTACAAAATTAGTTTTGACAACAGTGAAATAATTTTCTGTCAACTATTGCCATAAAAAATTATGAAACATAAACCTACACTTCATTAATGCTAATAAATGAGCATGTTTGCTTTTGACATAGGCTTAAGTATGGGTTTTATTCCGAAGTTTGGTCCGATTAGCATGTCAAATATGACGAATCACAATTCTTATCAGGATTCATGTTATGCTTCACCAGGAATGAAATTTCTCGAAAAACGCTCATGTATATACAGGCTGAATCTTAATAAATGTCTCAACGTTTTACCATAGGAGATGAATTACCGACTGTAACGTATAAGAGAGTGTGAAATATACACCTCCTACGGTAAAACATTGAAATATTCATTAAGATTCACTCTGTATATAGGACAGTACAATTAATGGATTGAGAATTAAAAAGTGATCTGCCAACTATCAAATTGTGTATTCACGTAGATCGTTCTAGATTCTAGATCCTTTTTCAGCTAGCCTTTTCACCATGTAGAAGTAAGAAAGCAAACAGTTTAGAAATAGAAGCTATTTATGAATCCTCGATCGCGTTCTAAAAGTTTATAATTTGCGGGAATCGGAAGCTTACATATAGCTTCTGTTTAGAAGTGCGTGCTATTTGTTTCTTCGATTTTTATGCACTGACGAATGTAGATGGAAGTTGAACAAAAGTTTATGCAAAATCTAGATCACTTATGATACTGAACCTTTTGATTTTTGGTGAGATTTATGCAACTTTAACGGTTGAAATTGAAATGATCCTCTTTTTACATGCGGTTTTCAGAATTAGAAAGACAATTCTTACTACTAGCGAGTCTGCAAACTGCGATTAAAAAGAGTAATTCTTTCAATATTGTATTTTTACTGCAAAAGTCAAAATCGTGGTCTCTAATTCTCTTAGATGATTTATTATATCACACTTTAATAAATATTTAACGTTGTGAATTTTTTTTCTTTTTAGCTTGACGAATATCACGATCGACTCGAGGACTTCCCGGAAGAAGATGAAGACATTAATAGCGATGATGATATGAATACCGCACCTACTATGAATAAAATAGCAAACAAAGCGATGAAGGGCAGAGCCTTCAAGATGGAAGTGATGAACTTTTAAAAACGCATAATCGGCGAAACCTCTTCCGTTTGTTCGTGAGCTGTACGGTAATAGATATCAGATATATAAAGACACAACTAGTTTAATTATGATCAAAATTTTGGTGTAAATTTATTCTTCATATTATTACATAAAGAATTATACACACAAAGTATTTAATTTGTCTTATGGTCATTAATTAAGAGAAAAATAATAATTCTGGACAAGAATTATTTTCGTTTATATCTTGAACATTGATGTAAAAATTTAAATAATTTAGTCTTTATATATCTATAATCATTGATATCTTAGGGCGCTGTGCGTCTTTAAAATTGAATATATTGAGCAAAAATGAACAACAAATGAGCAGCGAATACACAAAGTTATTTGAAACTCTTTCTAATGTATCACAATGACAAGTAAGTCACATCGAACGCAAACCGAACACTAAGAATGTATTTTGCGTTCGATACGATTTATAACTCTCAAAATTTATCGAAAGAAAAGCCGCGTTCGTTTATTGTTCATTTTCTTGAAAGAAATAGGATGCGTCGATCGTTCTTCTCGTATATATATACGTAAATCTTCGCATTAAATGGATATAGGGTAAATCATGAATTTGTTGTAAATTGAGCTCAATTTGTCGGATTGCGACGCCACTAAAAGCAATATGTATAATTCGGAATACATTTTAGAGGTGTAGCGCAAAGAACGACCAATTGCGTCGCGATGGTTCAGTGTTTAAACTTTACCGTCGTATATCACACTTCCAGGTAAAATCGCGAATCACCAGGTGAATTACGGTAGACGTATATCGAACAAAAAAATAGCGAAGAGAATAGAATATTCTGGCTTTTTAGTATCGTGTAATATGGAGACGATTGGACATGGGATCCTTGATTTCGTCCGTGTCAATTCGATTTTAATTAAGTGCGATTTCTTTTATAGATCACTAGTTTAATCTACGAAGAATGGGAGATGGAGAGACTAGACAATAAAATTCAACGTAGTGGAATTGTTAGATCAACATAACATAGCCGATTTATTTACTGCTTTCTATATGATCCCGGTGTAATGTGTACTTTCGATTCCTCCGAGGTTCTACCTTACGCATGTCATGGCAGTCCAGAATTAATCGATCTTGCTTCCAAAAATATTCAATGAAGAACAGATATCAGATACTAAACAAATTAATTTTTTCATTAATCTTTTTCATTAATTTCCTACGTTTAGAAGATAAAAGGGAGATATGTTTTCTATGTTATTAATCAATATTTATATTATATATATTACAAGTATATTTATGAGTGTGTTATGAGTATATACGCTTAAGCTTGGAAAAGAGAAAAGATATTCTTATACATATGTATAATATATTATAATATTTTATAAAAATATGTATTATGTATATATTTTTTTACATATTTTATCTTTAAAATTAATTACTTCAGTATTTCATAGAAAGAAATGAAAAGGAAACACGATCGATTAGATCTGCATTATTTATAATGATACGTTCGGTATTTAGTTGGGCAAACGATTTAATTTGCGTAAATTACCTTTTTAATTGGTAAATATTAAAATTATGTTACGCAAAGAAGTAACTACTCTCTATAATTCCAAAATTATCGTTAAAGATATTTTTTTATTTCTACACAAATACGCGGTCATTATGATTAGTTAGAAATGATTAGTCAGAAGCGATAGCGATGCTTTAAATTTCTTTTACTGCTAATTTCGATAAGATTACCAGTGCAGGATATATACTGATAGATTATATATGAATTGGCATTGTGTGTGTTGCATGAGATATATCTCGCGCTCATTAAGAATGCGTATGGAAGCCTATCGCTATTGCAAGATCAACAAATGTTTCTTTCGGGAAGTAGCTCCTCACGCGCTGGGCGCTCAGCATCGTTTGGCTGGTCCAGCTATTTTGGGTACGGAAATATGTCGATTCCCCGCTATGACGGATGATCAACGTGTGGTCCGTATATGCCAAGCTCCATCCCTTAAATTCTTGTCCGTGAGATATAATAATATATCGATGTAAAAACGTCAATCGAATACCGTAATGTCAATAATAAGAAAAATTACGATCTGAAAGTCGCGTTCGCCGTGCGAATTGTTGCGTGAAGGTATTCTTAAACTTAATGCACAATTGAAAAGCATAGGTAATAGAAACAGAAAATAACAGACTTCAACCTATTAGAAATCGCGTTTACCTGAATACACGTTTTCTGATAGGTTGAAATGTTTTATTTTTATTATCTGTGCTTTTCAGTTGTGTCTTAGGCTTTTCGTTCACGCAGAGATGCGATCTAAGTACGGGATGACCATTGATCCACTATTGATCATCCTATATCTCATTTATATTGTATATATTTCAATTGCGATCGATTAATCGCACGCATCAACGGGAACGTACGCAGGATTGGAATTAATTCAACGAAGGTCGAATTAGTAATCGGTATACATGTGTAAGTAAGCGCGTCAAGCTCACGCTGAGATTGAAACGGAGTTTGATAAACTAAGGAGTTGAATGTAAAATAAGAGCGATCGAGAGATCATTATATTAATGACATTACGAATTCAATGAAACGAATGCGTAACGCGTGTGTGCCATTTGTAAATAATAATTCGTGGCGTTGCGTCACAAATAGCATCTAAATTGATACTTCGTGAGATACCTATTTTTTGAATCGCTTAGAATAGTGACGACATACATCTGTATCTGTTTATTTTTTCTTCCCTATTTTCTATGAAAAATCGTATCATTCTTTTCTTCAAAAGTGATACAATTTAAAAAATTAAGCTTTTCAGAAAAACAGGAAAAACTATTTTTCAACTTACATAACAGAAAATTACTGACTATAATCAAATAATATCGATAAAAAGAATATAGAAACATGATTAAATGTCATTTTTATTATTTTCGTTTCACAATTTTTTAAAAATTCATCTTTTTTGAATTGTGACGATTTTGATATATTACAAAATTTTAACAAGTTCAGAATAATTTATAAAAAATAACATACATAACTCAAGATATCATCAAAAGTATATATTTAGTTTTATCAGCTAAAATAACTAAATTAAATTAAATAATAAACTTTTTCTTCAAATTTCGATCACTAAAACTGTTTTAACTCTAAATAATTTATTTCCCTGTAGAATACCTTCCTTTTTATTTATAAAAACGATACGGCTCAAGATGTACCACTCTTGTAGAAGGTATTATGATTTCTTTGAAAGCTTAAGACAACGACACGAGGGATATTTAACAGACGGGCTGTAAAGTTAAGTTAGTTTAACAAATAAGAATTAAGATCCGACCGTGTAAATGTACAACATACATACGTTTGAGAGCGCCAATAATCGGTCAAAGTTATGAATATAATGTATATTCTTGATTTTTTTTTAAATTTTAGTTTCAGATCGATTGTGGTTGATGTCCAAATGTTTCGGCGCACAGTCACATCTGAGATAATTAAAATTTTAAAAAAATTAAGAATATATATTATATTCATAACATCTCTCTAACTTTGACCGATTATTGGCGCTCTCAAACATATGTATTAAAAAAATAAAAAAGGAAATAGAGCTACGAGCCAAGAGAAATGAGCCAAAGGTTAATCGTTATGATTTAAATTATTAGTAAAATAAATATGTCATTAGAATATAAAAACTTTAATGCCGGCTATAAATAATAAATGACAAAATAAAGACAAATGTTTTGATCCCTATCGGATAAAATTTAAAAAATATACTTTTTATTATTCACATAAATGATAATTATGCGTTATTACATACATAAACGGAAGAACATTATGTTATGGATACCACATTGTACCTTATTTGCTTTGAATGTTAGCGAAAATGTTAATACTGCGAGAGGAGAGCGAAGTATATTTTTTAAATTTTATCCGATAGGGATCAAAACATTTGTCTTTATTTTGTCATTTATTGTTTATAGCCGGCATTAAAGTTTTTATATTCTAATGACATATTTACTTTACTAAGAATTTAAACCATAATGATTAACCTTTGGATCATAGCCCTATTTCCTTTTTTTATTTTTTGAATTTATTGAGCCTTATTACTATTATATTTTTCATATGTATAAAGTTAGTTTACTTTTGATTGATAGAGTAATCTTTATTTAACTCATTCATGGTAATAACTTGAAAATCATATTTTTTGAGTTGTCACTTTTGAAGTAAGGAAACAATATTGTCCTTCCCTTAGTGCACGAAGGACATAAATTTAGAAATTATGTTAGATCAAACATAAGTAAGACCGTTGCGCAAATTATTCCTTTTCTATAAATATGAGTTGTACGATAAGCGATAGTTAGTCATTGTTACGGAACAATTGACAAGATAACGTTGATAAAATGTAAAACGCACGACAAACAGCAAAAACCGGTTTTTTTCCCTAAACGCCATTATTTCACTTGTTTAAATTTTAAGGTCATACCGTCCGAGGTCGTCCTGCATCCCAGATGTAAAAAGATTGTATTGTTTTTGTGTACTATTAATTTAATTTTATTCATAGCTTTATACAGCGCGTCTTACATAGTAATAATATATTTCGTAATGTATTTATTATTTCGAAGATTGAATCAAATTTACTTTTTTTTAAATGTAATCCATTATTTCTTTATTACTATTAGACAGATAATTGATATTAGTAAAATAACGATGATACGTGATTAATTACTATTTGGATTTATCTAAATTATAATTAATTATCGGAAGTGCGATTAACTTTATGAATCATCGCAATCATGATATTACAAGAAAATTAACAAATGCAGAAGAGACAATATTACTTTTCCTTATGAAAGAACACATTAACCCATTTTTATTTTACTAAATTTTGATTAAAAAGTTTCCGTTATTTAGGAGTGTGAAAACGATATATATATTTTTTCAGTTGCTTCAAAAAGTAAAAAAACTTTTTTTTATATTGAAGAATTATTTTTACTCGTGTCGACACATTGCTTTGAATAAAAAAAA